AAAGAGTGAGTGCAAAAGTAGAAGAAGTGACCTTCGCGAAGGTACATCCAGAAAAGAAACAAAAAAAAAACAAGTTTGCTGGATGGGCGGGTGAGGGTGACAACAAGAGGGAGACGGCACCCCGCTCCTGGGATTGCGCTCGTTTCTTTTTCTGTTTCCCTGACTCAATACACTAAGTCGCCTTCGTCCTCATTTTCCCATTTTGTCTTCTGTTGTACGCTTCCTCATTTCCACATCTTTTTCAATGAGACATTTTTGTCCTGATCCTTGTGCATGATCTTCGCCACGGCGAGCTCAAAGTCCTCCTGCGTGATGTGCACTCGGCGCTCCCGCAGGGCAAACATCCCGGCCTCGGTGCAAACCGCCTTGATCTCGGCACCTGAGCAGTGATTCGTCTTCTCCGCAATACTCTTAAGATTGATCCCGCGTGTCAGGTTCATCTTTCGCGAGTGAATCTTTAAAATTTCGAACCGAGCCGCCTCATCCGGTGCGGGGAACTCAATCTTCCTGTCGATGCGCCCGGGACGCAGCAACGCCTCATCCAAAATGTCAATGCGGTTCGTCGCCATGATTACCTTGATGGATTGCGTCGACTCAAAACCGTCCAGCTGGTTGAGAAGCTCAAGCATGGTACGCTGAACCTCACTATCGCCCCCGCGGCCGGTGTTTTCAAGACGAGTAGAACCAATAGAATCAATCTCGTCCATGAAAATAATGGATGGACTGTGTTCACGCGCCATGACGAAGAGTTCACGCACAAGGCGTGCGCCTTCACCAATGTACTTCTGCACCAACTCCGCCCCGCTCACCCGAATAAAGGTACATTCCGTGTGATGGGCCACTGCCCGTGCGAGGAGTGTCTTGCCTGTGCCTGGTGGGCCATAAAGCAGTACACCTTTCGGCTGAGCAATACCCAACGCCTCAAAGAGTTCTGGATGCTTTACAGACAATTCAATAACCTCCTTTATCTCCTTCACCTGGCGGGAGAGCCCGCCAATCTCGTCATACGTCGAGTCGCTACCCGCCTTCTCCACCTTCATCAGCGACACAAGGGGGTCAACTTTGGTGGGTAGAATGTAGTGAATGGCGAAGCTTGCGTTTCGTAGCGCCACACGCGTATTACGTGTGAGATCGGAAATTTCGACGGTTTTTTCCACATCAACGATCAATTTTCCCTGATTGGAGCTTACGTTCACAAGTACTTTGTTTTTGCCGAGCACCTGTACAACGTCCGCCACGATGGAGCCGCTTTCCTGGAGCATTTGCACCTCCTCCTTGAGGTGGCGCACCCGTCTGTTGAGCTCATTACGCTGGGACTCTAAACGGAGGTAGTTGTCCTGAAAACGCTTTTCCTGCGCACGCAACTCCTGAATTTTCTGAAGAAAGTACGCGCTGACCGGGTCGCTTGGGCTTCTAGAGGCGGCCACAACGGATGTCATCGCTCTCTTCCCCCTCCCTTCCTTTGAATTGTTTTTTTTTCTTTGATTTCGCTTCCTCCCGCTGTCAGTGTTGTTTGTTGGACTTTTTTGATGCTGCTGGCACCCGTGGTGGTCCTTTAGCGATCTGTGCTGCCGTGTGTGTGTGTGTGTGCGTGTTCCTCCCCTCCCGCTTCAAAGCAAACTGCCCCGATAACAGGTTCAAAGTACAGAAGTCGACAACAAAAAATTAACAAGAGGTGTGTGTGTGTGTGGAGAGAGAGAGAGAGAGAGAGAGACAATAATT